TTTTTTTTTTTTTTCCGGCTACTCTTTCTGGTATAATATTAGTTACTGTGTTTGTCAGTGGGTTCTTGTGCACTTGGCTTGACTACTGTTTATGTGGAGCAGATTGGAAAGGGATTAACTCTTGTAGAGGGTAAAGATGTTGCTTTGCTTGGGTATGGTACAATGGTTCAGAACTGCCTCAGAGCTCAGACCCTTCTTTCAAAGCTTGGCATTGAGGTAACTGTTGCTGATGCAAGATTCTGCAAGCCACTTCACATGAAGCTTCTCAGACAGTTATGCAAAAATCATGCCTTTCTGGTCACAGTCGAGGAAGGCTCTATTGGAGGATTTGGGTCCCATGTTTCACAGTTCATTGCCCTTGATGGGCAGCTTGATGGAAGAACGTAGGTAATATCTCACACACAAATAATAGCAATTCGCTTGTTTTTACAAGAGACAAATGTATTGTATGCTTGCTGAAGCACGATCTCTGGCAATGGAGTAATTTTCGAGTCATAGACAATGTTGATCGGATGTCAATCCATTACCGATGCCTATATGACTGAATGTTCTGTTAAACCCTGTCCTCATTGCAGTTTTTTTTTCCCATGACTTCTGCAGTGGCGGCCAATTGTATTACCAGACAATTACATTGAACATGCATTGCCAAATGAACAGCTTGCTCTTTCTGGGCTGACTGGACATCATATTGCTGCAACAGTGCTAAGACTGCTTGGTCGCTCCCGTGAAAAAGAGAGCTGGAAACGGAAGAAGCGAAAGGTGATGCTAGTATACACAGGCCATTTGACTGAATTTTTTTTTTTTTTTGTAACCTGCAGTTGGTTTATGAGTTATGAACGTAAAATTAGATTTTCAATTGTATAGAATTGACAAATGAAAACACATGTATGTAACATTTAGAGCATCTGTCATTGCATTCATCTTGATACCATTGTTTTCTCCTCGATGATTCTTTCTTCCATGAAATACATCCATTAACGGAAACAAAGAATAAGGATCACCCATTTGTGACATAAATCATCAAGAGCTGCAAAAATATGAAAGCACGAGCGCCAATGCACGGTACCATGTTTACGATTTGCGGAATTCATCCCTAAAGAGAGCCAAACATTATCATTTGTCGTCTTCATTGTTATTATTATTATTATTATTATAAAAAATATTAAAACAGTGGGAAAAACACTATGGATGGTCCAGTGTTTTTCCCATTTTGCTACTCTTAAAACCACCCAATTAAATAGCTTTTCGAGGTATTTTTATCATTTCACACGGTCTATTACCATATTTACAGGGATAATTTGGTTTGTTTATATATGTTATGCATTGTAAAATGACTTCACTATCTCTGGAATTAAAAATTTTAAAGCTGGTGCCCGGGGTGTTTTCTTCTTTTCAATGTCATATACACAATAAAATGTTTAAATTACTTCTAGAAATTAAATTTTATTCACTAATGGTAAGGGGCATTTTTATATTTTTATAATGATTTTATTCATTAATGGTTGTGAGATTTTCATTGTTTTTTTTTCTTAAGTTTTGTCATTCAATATATATATATATTAGATTGTTTTATAATTGAGTTTTATAATTTTATTTAAGAAATTAGAGCAGCTGAGAGTTTTGACAGGTACGAAATTTTCTTAATTTCCCTGAATCTTCTGTATTATCTTAATGTATTCTCTTGTCATTTCATGCACGATAGCTTGCATGGAATGAGAATCGTTCTCAAGTTCAAAGCAAGTCCAGGCAATCAATGGCCTCTTATTTTGTTATTCCTGTAGCCTGGATATATCGGCTGTGATAACTCTACATGGCTCTATATATCCACCTTGAATGGAAAAAACAATGGCTACAAGGTAGAAAATCCAGATTTCCCAGTTCGTTTTCGTCGGAGGACGGTGCACAGCACATGCAGCGGCGGAACCAAGGGGAGGCCAGCAGGGCTAGCCCCTGCAAAACTTTTTTTTTAAAAAAATATAATAAATAATAAGTTTTTTAATACTAAATTATTATTTTATTAGTTATGTTTAATTTTAATATGATAAATATTCGTGAATCTCTATGGAAGTGATAAACAAAAGATTTTCAATTAATTCTTTTTCTTTTATTGTTTCTCTCTGTTTCTTCTCTGCAAACCTAGCCTAACCAAAACATTAATTTAATTTTTTTTTTACTTGTTAAGAATTTAATGAATACATATATATAATTCTGATATTTTTTTTAAATTTACTAGTTTTATCATTTTTTATTTCTTGTTATAGTAAATGTTATTTTTCTCATTAATTAGATGTATTTTATGGGTTTGTTTGTTTCGATTATGCTTAGATTTTGTATGTTTTGTTTTTAGCAGAGCCACTAAAATTATCAATTTTTCACACCTATACCTTACTATCATCAGGTCCAATATACAATTAGACACGATCTTTCTAGCCAAATTGAGTTCTTTGAAGAGTGTATACCCAACTTTGATTTAGTGTAATTTTTCTTTTTCAAGAACCAGGAATCCTATTTTTTATGTTAGATATGCTTTTATATATCAATTTTTTTTAATATGTTAATTTTCTTTTATATGTCAATGTGGTTTACACGTAAAAAATTATTTTTGGTTCTAATTATTGTTTCAACACATTGTTATTTGTATTTATTTTTTAAATAGAAAAAAATAAAAATTTATGATGTTTTGATTTTAGGTTGAACCATAAATAAAATAAGAAGAATTGATTCCTTTTTGAGAAAAAAAGGAAAAAAAAATTGATAACTCACAACCTAGTGAATTAACTCCAATGTGTAGTGTTGAAGTTATAGTTAAACAATCCCAATGTGCTTCAGTTTATGAAGAACTTGCATTGATTAATGAGCAGCCTCCTACTACAATTGACATTGCTCATCTGATTAGAGATCCAAGCAATCATCCTTAAATTTAGAAATACTCGGTTAATCAACAAGATGAAATTAGAAGGGCATACATTAATTTGGGGTCATATCAACCTTTGATGTCTGAATATCCACTAACTGGTAAAAAACATTCTCATCGATTTCAATTTCATTGGTTCAAAAGTTATCAATGGCTTGAATTTTCAGAGAAAAATACTGCATTTTGTTTCCCTTGTTATCTATTTTCAAGTAAGTTATTTGGAAAGTCAGGATCAGACACATTTACTATTAAAGGATTCAATTGTTCAAAAAAAATTAATGATGGGGAACGATGTGCTTTTTTAACTTATATAGGAAAAGATCTAAATTCAGCTCATAGATTTTCTATCAGGTGTTTGGAAAATTTGAAAAATCAGTCATATCATATTAAGAAGGTAGTTAAGAGGCAAACTACTTAAGAGATTCTAAATAATCAATTACATATTAAAGCTTTAATAGATATTGTTCGGTAATTCACATTTCAAACATGTGCTTTTAAAGGACATAATAAAAGTCCAGAATAAAAAAATCAAGGTAATTTTCTTGAAATGTTGGAACTTTTAGCATCATATAATGAACAAATAGGTGTTCTTGTTTTGGATAATGCTCCACAAAATGCTAAATATACCTCACATCAAATTCAAAAGGAAATTTTGCATGTTTTTGCTAGAAATGTTCAGTCTTCAATTCTTTATGAGATTGGTGATACAGGATTTTGCTTAATTGTTAATGAAACTCGAGATGAATCCAGAAGAGAGCAAATGACCCTTGTTATTAGGTTTGTTGATAGAAGTGGATTTATACAAGAATGATTTTTTGATATAGTTCATGTCAAAGACACAACTGTTTCAACTCTTAAGAAAGAGATTTTCTTTGTTTTATCTCATCACAATCTTGATGTTCAAAATATTAAAGGTCAAGGGTATGATGGTGCTAGTAATATGCGTGAAGAGTAGAATGGATTGCAAGCTTTATTCATTAATGATTGCCCTTATGCATATTATGTACATTGCTTAGCTTATCAATTACAATTGGTTTTTATTGCTGCAGCTAGAGAAATTTTTGATGTTCACATTTTTTTTCAGAACTTGATTTTTATTATTAACATTATTAGTGCTTCTTGCAAGCGTAATGATGAATTACGAGCGTTTCAAACAGTTATAATTGAACATTTAGTTGATATTGATGAGATTGAAATGGGTAAAGGAGTTAATCAAGTAGGTAGGTTGCAACAGAGAAAAAAAGAAAAAATATTGATAACTCATAACTTAGTGAGTCAACTCCAATATGTAATGTTGAAATTATGATTAAACAACCCCAATGTGCTTCAGTTTATGAAGAACCTACATTGATTAATGAGCAGCCTCCTACTACAATTGACATTGCTTATCTGATTAGAGATCAAGCAATCGTCCTCAAATTTAGAAATACCCGGTTAATCAACAAGATGAAATTAGAAGGGCATGCATTAATTTGGAGCCATATCAACCTTTGATGTCTGAATATCCGCTGACTGGTAGAAAACATTCTCGTCGATTTCAATCTCATTGGTTCAAAAGTTATCCATGGCTTAAATATTCAGAGAAAAATACTGCATTTTGTTTCCCTTGCTATCTATTTTCAAGTAAGTTATCTGGAAAGTCAGGATCAGATACATTTACTATTAAAGGATTCAATTGTTGGAAGAAAGTTAATGATGGGGAACAATGTGCTTTTTTAACTCATATGAGAAAAGGTCCAAATTCAGCTCATAGATTTGCTATCAGGTGCTTGGAAAATTTAAAAAATCAGTCATGTCATATTGAGAAGGTAGTTAAGAGGCAAAGTACTCAAGAAATTCTAAATAATCGATTACATATTAAAGCTTTAATAGATATTGTTCATTAGCTCACATTTCAAACATGTGCTTTTAGAGGACATGATGAACGTCCAGAATAAAAAAAATCAAGGTAATTTTCTTGAAATGTTGGAACTTTTAGCATCATATAATGAACAAATAGGTGTTCTTGTTTTGGATAATGCTCCATAAAATGTTAAATACACCTCGCATCAAATTCAAAAGGAAATTTTGCATGTTTTTGCTAGAAATGTTCAGTCTTCAATTCTTTATGAGATTGGTGATACAGGATTTTGCTTAATTGTTAATGAAACTCGAGATGAATCCAGAAGAGAGCAAATGACCCTTGTTATTAGGTTTGTTGATAGAAGTGGATTTATACAAGAATGATTTTTTGATATAGTTCATGTCAAAGACACAACTGTTTCAACTCTTAAGAAAGAGATTTTCTTTGTCTTATCTCATCACAATCTTGATGTTCAAAATATTAAAGGTCAAGGGTATGATGGTGCTAGTAATATGCGTGGAGTGTAGTATGGATTGCAAGCTTTATTCATTAATGATTGCCCTTATGCATATTATGTACATTGCTTAGCTCATCAATTACAATTGGCTTTTATTGCTGCAGCTAGAGAAATTTTTGGTGTTCACACTTTTTTTTAGAACTTGATTTTTATTATTAACATTTGTTAGTGCTTCTTGTAAGTGTAATGATGAATTACGGGCTTTTTAAGCAGCTACAATTGAACATTTAATTGATATTGGTGAGATTGAAATGAGTAAAGGAGTTAATCAAGTAGGTGGTTTGCAATGACCTAGAGATAGCAGATGGAGTTCGCACTTCAAATCCATTTGCAGTTTGATAAAAATGTATGGGGCAACTTGCTTGGTTCTTGAAAACATCTCTTTAGATGGATCTACTTATTCT